AAGTTCAAACCCTTGAAGAGCGTTTCCACAACTTCCCTCTCCAGCCACATCTCTTTCCCGCCCTCCAGGTTTCCCTTTCAGTTTCTCCTCACCCTGACCTCTTAGATCTCACCATCATTCTCCTCCCTGCTAGGTAACTTCCCCCCTCTCCCTCTCCATTCTTCCCAAGCACATGGCGAGGACTTCACAAGTACTGTGTCATTACTAACAGTAGCATTAGACAATGGAGCAAAGTGGACACATTTAAGGGATGTTCTCAAGGTAGAGTGCTCAGGCCTTTCTGAGGACTTGTGTGCAAGGGGGGTGGTGCGGTAAAGGGAGAGACCAAGGTTGGCTTGAGAAACAAAGAAATTAATTAGGAAATTACTGCTAACTACACTAATGAGAAATATAGTAGCATTGAGTGATTACGAGTTTTGTTTTGTTCATACTAAATTTAAGATGCTTGTGTGGGGAAGATGTTAACATGGAATAAGATACAAGAGTGTGGAATTCCAGAGGGTGTCAGAGCTGAAAATGGGGGCAGTATTTAAAGCCACAACAGTAATGAAATCCCTTAGGAAGAATGATGGAGAGAGAAGGGTCACTTCGAGGCCAAGGGGAAGAGGGATAGCAAACGGAGGATCGAGTGAGGAAGGAGGAGAACCAGGAGAATGGAGCCCTGAAGCCAAGAGAGGAAAGTGGTTCAGAAAGTGGGAGTGTAGAGTCTGTGAAGGCTGCCAATAGGTGAAGTAAAATGAGGACTAAGAAGTGACCACAGGATTTGGCAACATGGAGGCCATTAGTGACAATGACATGGTGGAGTGAGGGCAATGAAAGTTCATGTGGTGTGGGCTGCGGGAGGAGACGACGTGAGGAAGTAGTGACCACAACCATAGAAGCTCCCTTAAGCAGTTCTGCAGAGAAGAGACGCAGATCAATGGGGCTGTACGATGGGGATATGGGATAAAGGGGTTTATTCTTTACTGCTGGGAGATGTAGAACGTGTTAATGTGGTAAGAATGACTCAGGAGTGAGGAAGACACTATGATATAGGAGAAAGATAGTATCTGCAGGATTAGGTCCTGGAGGATACGAGGGCATGGCTTGCAGAGGCCAAATGGAAGGGCTGGCCCATGACTGCAGCTGGGAGTGTTCATCCATGCCAACAGGAGGGAGGCAAGGACCCTGATGCACGTGCAGGTCTGTGGATGGCTGTGCTGTGGGAACACTTCCATATTCTCATTGACGTGTGGGTCAACGTTATCAGCTGGGAGTTGGGTAGAGATGGGATGGAGAGATTGAGAGGAAGAGGTGTGAAATTTTTGTCCGGAGCATGGGAGAAAGAATCTGCCAGAGAATATCCTCAGGCAGCAGAACTGAGTGTACACTTGCAATTTGTCATCATGGATTTGGAGTAAGACAAGTCATTATATTTGGGTGTTTTCCTCCAGCAAATTTCAGATGCTGCCATCACTCCGCTGCCCCCCCAACTCCTGCCCCCACTTTAGCTGGGTTTTCTCTGTCGGTCCTGATAGATGCCAATTCTGCAGGAAACATGTCTGTCCTCCAAGTCTAGACCTTGGGCTCTCCTGTGGCCTTTGTTACCCATGTTACAACCCTACTGTGATTATCCACTTACTCATGTGTATCTCCCATGAGAACATGAGTACACAGAAGGCAGGGATTTTTGATCCATGTTGTTCTGAGTTCTAACCCCAACCTCAAATACAGCTCTTCACACACAATAGGTGTTCATACTAGTTGAATCAAAGAAATATGGCCCATAAGACAAACATCAGTCTCTCCAATTCCACATCAGCATCAAGAACATTTGCAGTGAAAGTTAATTAAAAAGCATTCTTACCTATTTATTACCAAAACACTAAGTTCCCTAAGATTTATAATTCAGCTTCTTCTTGCTGTGGTTCCCAAAGTTACCACGTCTAATTGTGCACGACTTCATTTTTAAAAAGAGGTTTGCATTTTAGCTGACTTCCTTCCCTCAACTATACCCCCTTAAAATGGTGACTAAGGAAGACTTTATTTATCATAGGAATGGTTAAAGGAGAGAAATAAGCAGCAAACTTGTAAGTATTTTAAGTGCAGGGTAATAACTCGGCACATCACATTTTATCTACTACACAGATGTCTTCTTTCAGAAACCAACAAGTTTAAGGAAGAAGATACCCATATTTCTCACATTTGTACAAGAAGGAGAATCATATATTTAAATATATATTGGAATGATTAGGAATATTTTGAGAAGATATCATTTAGATTTAAAGTTAGTTTTAGTACATAGAGTAGATTGAACACACAATCAGGGACGTGGGTACATAGAGTAGATTGAACACACAATCAGGGACGTGGGTACATAGAGTAGATTGAACACACAATCAGGGACGTGGGTACATAGAGTAGATTGAACACACAATCAGGGACGTGGGTACATAGAGTAGATTGAACACACAATCAGGGACGTGGGTATCAGGGTATTCACTTCTCCATTGCTAGGTAATAGACGTGTTTTTTCTTTGATCATAAGTCATGATGGTGACTTACCTAGTCAATAGGCAGTACAACATTTTACAAGGATGCAACAATGCATTTATTTTCTCACAGAATCTTCACAACACCCAACACCCTTGAGACGTATTTTATCTCCAATGTAAGTAAAGTGGAGCTTACAGAGTTTAAGTAAAACTCGTACAAAGTCACAGAGCTGGTAAAGGGCAGAGTCTGAATTTAAACCAAGACTGGACGGGCTCCGAAATGGATTTTCTTTCAATAAAGCAATGTGGCGAGCCCCTTATTGGAAGCCCCTTCTAATGTCTAGAGTCCCTTCCAGTTCTTTTTTTTTTTTTTTTTTAATTTTATTTATTTGTTTTTTTCCCCAAAGCCCCAGTGGATAGTTGTACGTCGTAGTTGCACATCCTTCTAGTTGCTGTATGTGGGACGCAGC